TTCACATGTACATACCCACATATAGACATGCATGCATGCATATAATTAAAAATAAAATAAATATTTTTAGAAACTGGATTTTAATTGTGATGATGAAGTTGCAGTACCAAGGATTTGGTTTTGTAAAGACATTATGTCCTCTCTGGTGGATGAGCTCTAATAAAGGGGAAGGGAGGGGAAGGGAGAGGAGGATAGGGGAAAGGAGGAGATTCTTCTTCTGGGTTCTATAGCTAAAGGCCAAAGAAGGGATCAAAAAGTAAGCCAGCTCTTTTTATATGCCTGTTCTACCAAGGTTGGGAGGGGGAATGGTACTATATTTCTGAATGCTGTGTTTGCCCCTTTGCAAAGACGTAGTGCTTTTTCAATAAAAATAAATTTAATTTGTGGCTACACTTCAAGGAAGATGGTTTGTTGGTAAAAGTGGAGCAGTCCCAGCCCTAGATTTAGCGACCTGTCTCTGGCCTGTCACTTCCGTGTGGAGGTGACTCAGCAGTGCCCTATCTAAGATTGCCTCTGCCCAGTAACAACTGGCGTAATAAATTCCCAGTGGCCCACAGTCTTCACCCCAGATGACACATTCCTATACCCACCCCCTTTTCCACACCCCTTTTGCTTAAACTATATAAGTTGATGCCTGACACAATAAAGTGAGTTCCTGCCTTGACAAGACTCCCGACTCAGTGTGGTTTTTGAGTCGCCGACACTCACCGTCCCACTCAGCCCCTAAGAGAGGGACCCAGGCTGGTCCTGGCCTCTCCCCTTGTGCCATACCTGTCGGAGTGACCGACAAGGAGGAAGAGATGAGGAGGGAGGAAGGCAAGAGGAAGAAAGGAGAAAGAGAGAGGAGGAGAGTTGAGGAGGAAGAGGAGGAGAAGGAAAGGGAAAGAGAAAGGTCGTAAGTATGTTGCATCTACATAGGTAGTATGGTACAGTCTTCTGTGCATTACATAAAGTCACCTGAATATGTTACAGCAAAAGATCTCAATACCTAGTATCACTAGTTTTTAAATTTATAAAGAACATTATGAAATGTTAAAAAGTAGTGACATTCTTGTACTACTTATATTAGAGAATTTTTCTTGCTACTTTCTCATAGATATTTGAAAGTAACCAATGACATAATACCTCATGTTATTTTTTTAATGATGCTGGGAATGGAACCCAAGGCCTTGCACATTCTAGAAAAGTAGTTCACTGAGTTATGTCCCTGGCCTCATTTTATTCTCTTTTAGAAAAGCATTTAGTCTTGCTAAAATTGGGTTCACTTGGCAAAATGATAGAGATAAGTTCTCTCCTATGGCATGCAGAGAGAACGCTCTAGTTGAGAGAACACTACTCCCCTATAGCTCTGTAAGCACTAGAATTAAAGGTGCAAACGTGGCTTGCTCCTCATTGCTAGCTCCAGAGCATTCATTTGCTCTCTCTTCCCTGCAATCTCCCTTTCCAAATCACAGGTAGTTCATCAAACATCCCAGGACCTCCTGCACTTCTGTTTCTTTGCATTTGGTTTTTCCTCTACAGTAAAGCTCTGTATTCCTCAGCCATCTAAAAATAAGAAAGGTTCTCTTGTTTCTTTAAAAGCAACTTCATTGGTCACCTCCCTCATAGCATAAGTCTTCTTATTTTAGTAATCAAAACCCTGATGGTGAGAAACACTTGCTGTGATAAAGAGAGAAATTATTGGCATAAATAGAAATATTCTCTGCACATTTGTCTACAGAAGGTCCCAATTAATCAGCTATGTTACTCATACAAAACTTATAAGATAATATTTGACATCCCCCAATTTTTTTCCCAAATAAAATCACACTGAAGCCATGGTTTTATCACAATTGCCATAAGAAATCTGGCACTAGATCAATGCTATTGAAGGGTTTAACCCCTTAGCAGAGAATTGACCTATGGGACAAATGTAAACTCTGTGGATGACATTTTCCTCAATTTATATGCGTACAAACAGTGAGCTAACTAGTTTAACTAACTCTTACTTTAATCCTGTTTTGTATGAAAGAGGTTACTCTGAATGTCTTTCAGTTGCTTATGCTATGAATCAGTCATTTTTTAAAAATCAAAAAAAATCACTTCTTGACTGAGCCATGCCTGGGTTTCTGGTCTTGCCACAGGAAAATGAGGAAGCAAACCACATGATTCTTTATTCACTTAGTTCTCCTTGATCTTACCTATACTAGGAAAAATGGGGGATCTGGTTCTTTGAATTTACTCCCTTTCCTAACTCTGGGGCCCCATAAGTATAACCTAATCCAGATGTACATATTACTGTGATGTTCGGTGCAAGTAGGAGTCAACTAAACTGCATTTTATGCTGAAAAACTGTACTTTTTCTCTCTCAGTTGATAATACTCTCTATATTTTAAATTTGGTTTTATTTGGTTTCAGTTTTGGTTTGTAGTGCAGAGGATGGAACCCAGGGCCTTGTGCATGCTATGAAAGTGCTCTCTCACTAGCCTTAGCCCTACACCCTAGCCCTAAATAGACGTTTGTTGTATGTAGAACATACTGAGAACACGTGGAAACATTATCACTACTGATTGGCTACATAGCTTAAAAGACAGTATTCCTCTGCAGGTAATACAACATTTTCTTGTTTATTACAGTCTAGTCTTGCTCATTTATCAAGTTAAATAATATGAAATTTTTAAATCCAAAAAATAATCTAATTTCATTTTAATCTCCTTCACAGCTACTAATAAACGGTATCATTTTCATTGTAGCAGGCTCACTGGTTTCTCCTCCCGGTCCCTGGTGATGGTACTGCAATCTAAGCCTCAGAAAAGTCTCTGTAGATATATTTCCAAGGTAAGGCCGATGGTCCATATATAGCAAAAAAAATTCAAATCATTTAACCAAGCAAATGAAGAGTTCAGAAATGTTTAGGTTCTCTGTAACAAACGTTGCTGTGAGGTGATAAAAGTGACCTCATGAGAGGGCAACAAAATAGAACAGTGAAGTGGCGACCAAAATGGGTCAAACTGAAAACCTGGACAATTTGAAATCCCAAGCTAATATGCAATAAACTTTCATTTTCAATTCTTCAAAGGAAAACTTGGTGTAATATGAAAAAATTAACTTTAATCACGTAATGTAGAAATGAGATACCAGATGAAAGTGATTTGTTAACATTCATTGCAATACTTTAAGGTGGGTCTAGTGTTTCCTCACTGCTAAGCCCTTGGAATACTAAGTGTTTTATAAATAAAAAGATGGTCAGACAAGCTAAAAACTGTCAGTCAGCAGTAATAAAACTGACCCTTGTTTTGCTTTTTGCTATAGGGCTTCAAAGCCTTTAGTGAGTTCGCATGCACTATGAATCTCCTAAAAGAGGTAGAGGAGCAGCAGGTAGCAAATTTGGCTTACCATAGAACCCTATTAATATCTTCCAGATTATTTCAACCCCAGTAGTTTTGAAAATGCTCTGGTGTCTCATGCAGATGGTTATTTAGCTGTTCTTGGTTTGACATGGCACAGAAAAAAAAAAATCAATCCAACCACATGTTTACTACTCAGGACTTTATATATTGAATAGATGCATCCCATTTACAGTGAACAAAGAGGAGTAGAAGAGGGAGATGGTCTGGGGGTTTTCTGCCAGCATTCCTCACATACCTGTTCTTGTAATCTACAATTTCCACAGTTAGGTAGCTGAGCTGCAGGCTAGGGCCAAATGTTGGACTCAGCACTTACATTTTGCTGGGAAATCTGCTAGACAAAGAAGCAGACTATTCATTAATGTCTACATGAGAATTCCCTGTCCACCTGTCAGATCCTCAGTCACTAAGCTCCAAGCAGGCAAGGAGGACAGGGAAAGCAGCTCAGATGAGGACTGCTGATAACAGCAGTGCTTTTCAGACCAGGAAGTAACTACTGTCACTTGTGCAATGGAGGAAAGATAAGGAGGTTGGCTACAAAAGCCCTTTCACACAGGGCTTTGACACATTCATCCAGGTGGTTCTTAAGCAGTGTCTTAAAATTAACAGGCAGTAGATAAGATCCTAGAATGTCTGCTACTTTCATTGTGACCAAGTCCAGATTTGCTGTTGATACAAATTGGGAGTCTCTAGGCCTTCCTTAGGAGGGTATGCAGAAAGTCTCAGTTACGAATGCAATAGATCTGCTGTCTTGATGTAGAAATAGCCACCTTAGACTTTCAGAACAGTCAGAAAGATGGCCTCAAAACTTCAGTTTGGAAGGAGCTCTACTATTCACTAGCTATGCATCCTTGGTAACTTGTGTTCCTTGACTATAAAAAAAGGAATGAGGGGTTGGAGAGGTGGCTCAGTGGTTATGAGCACTGACTTCTTGTGCAGCACCCACATGGTGGCCCACATGGTGGCTAACAACCATCTGTAACTCCAGTTCCAGGGAATATGACACCCTCTTCTGACCTCAGTAGGCATTGCAAGACATGGGTACACTTACAAACATGCAGGCAATACACTCGTACAAATAAAATTAAAATAACAAATTAAATAGTTTTTTGAAAAGCACAATTAATTTACAGGTAAAATAGATTCTGGCAGACACACTCACCCTCTCCTGCTAGTTCAGTTCATTATTATGAGGAAAGAAACATCCCAAAGAAAGTGCAGTTAGCCCAAACCACAGCACTAACACTAACCATGTTGATGACCGTTTCTTTTCAGTATCTGTAGCATTAACATAACTCCTAAATGCTCATGAAAATATGGTCACCAGATTGAATGCTCTATACAAAACAAGCATGTCCCCTGACCCCACTGGAGAGCTACTCCTTCTACTACTCTTTGTGGAGGAAAACCACATACAACCCTCAAGAGCTCAAACTGAAAGTTTGCCCAGTAGCGTGCTGAAGAAACTCCCTCTACTCTGAGACTGTGAGAAGAATTCAACTACTCTCCACTCTTCATCTGGATGTTATCTAGAGAATCCAGTGTTGTGACTAACCCTTACAAAGCAGCATACTGGCAGGACAAAAGTTTGCAGAAATCAAATATGCCACCTACCTGTGATGGATAAGGTCTTGGAGGAAGGGCTGGTGGTGGGGGTAACAATCCTGAGTTAACAGCTGAAAAGAAAAACACATAGTGTTAAGGACCACCTCCTCCAAAAAAGACAAAAAAAATATACTCAACTAAGAATAATGATGGTATTTAATATATTCAAGTTTTTAAAATTCTTTTGAGGTCTTAATTTTTTAAGTATAATATTCACAATAGCCAAGTTATGTTATCAGCCTCACTATTCATCAACAGATGAATGAGTAAAGAACATATAAATACACACACACACACACACACACACACATATAATGGAGTTTTATTCAGGAATAATTAAATTATGTTATTTTCTGAAAAATTGATGCAGCTGGAGATCATCATTAATATATGATGTGTGTGTGTGTGTGTGTGTGTGTGTGTGTGTGTGTGTGTCTTTTTGAGACAGGGTCTCCCTGTAGCCCCAGCTGGCCTGGAGCTCACTATGCAGACCAGGCCGGCCTTGAACTCACAGAGATCTGCCTGCCTCTGTCTCCCAAGTCCTGAGATTAAAGGCATGTGCCACCATGCCCAGCGATTAATATATTTTTTAATAGCAAAATGAGCCAAACTCAGAAAAGTAAGTATCATATGTTTTCTCTCATTTATGTACTGAAGCTTGTACACAGACGCAGAATGCCATGAAGCTACAAGGGAGACTAGATAAGAGCAGACTCTTAGGAGGGAAAAAGAAAGGGGAATAAAGAGAGGGGCTGGGAGGGGTGAATATGGTCAAAGCACGTGGCCTACTTAAAAGAAATTATCTATATGAAACTCAACACTACATACAATGAATATACTCCAATAAAAGAGTGTATTATTTCTAATCCCTTTTTATCTTTATCTTACCCCCAAATTCAAGTTATTTACATAAGTGGGAATGATTTACATAAGTGGGGATGACTAAGATAATGGCCAATACTAAGGGAAACGTAACTTTTTACCAAAAGACAAGAACTTAGCATGGAAAATGTGGCCAATTCCTCATTATTCTGTTATAAATTAGTTTCACGTAAGCCAGGCCATAGATCAGAAAGAATCTTCTTTGACTTCTCTCATATTTCCCCCAAGCTTCCAGCCATTGCTGAGCATTAGCTTATGGTGCAGATAAGGAGGGAGCCAAGACTCAGCAGCTCTGCTGTATGCACTCCTATGAATGGCTCCACCAGCAGCAGAGGAAGACAAAAGTGATGGGCTGATTTTATTTATTTCAAGAATTTCTATTTCTTTTTCTCACTCTGATCACTATTATCAAGGGTAAATAAATATGTTTCTAAAATAATCTGGCCACATCTGAAGGATCTTTTGAAAGAAAGTTACAAACTAACTTTTTCTTTAATTTTGTGAGCTACATAGACTGTTTAAGGAATTCAAGAATATCTGAAATGTAACTAACAGTGAAAATAAAAAGTTGCTATGAAATTATAAATAAGATCCATGATCACACACAAGAAATAAGTTTCAAATCACATACCAGCAAGTCCTCAAAGATTATGCCTTTAAATTATCAATTACTTTAGGAATAAAAAGCAAACTTTATGCATGTTTCTAAAGAAAAGACCAAGTACCTGCACTGTTATTAATTGTACAGTAAAACAATCCTTTGTTATCCAAAGAGGACTACTTAACAAATAATAACCATTTATTTAAATAGACTTTTGCTTTCAGCTAAGATGGAGTAATAGAAGCCACATTTACTCACCCAGTTGAATGAACAAAACACAGAAAAACATATGACACAATTATCATAATACCGAGAAAAAACATGTAGACAGACTTCAAAACATCAGGAAATTGGGCAACAAAAGTGGTACTCTCTAAGATAGAAAACAACAAGGAGAGCCTTATGGTTGACTTTTCCTGCTCCCTACCTTAAAAGTTACTAAAAAGAACATAAATCCAGAACCAGGTATGATTATGTTCTTTTTAAAATCATTATTCAATTATAAAAATGCCAAATACCCTATTTTTTTTAAAGAAAAATGGTATTGGCTGTCTATTTTTCAATATACTTTTAGATAAAATTACACCACCTATAGCATACCATTGATTGGTTTCACTAGAAAGTGCCTCAAATATGAAGACGAAACCATATAAAATAGTAAAACATTGAGGCCATTTAAAAAAGAACCCTATGCTGAACGTGGTAGGACACACCTGCAATCCTAGCTGAGGCAGGGAGATTGCCACAAGCCCAAGATCATTCTGGATGACTAATAATGAGTCTCTCTCTCTCCCCTCTGTGTGTGTATGTGTGTGTGTGTGTGTGTGTGTGTGAGAGAGAGAGAGAGAGAGAGAGAGAGAGAGAGAGGTTATTTATTAAATTCTAATATTGGGGGAAGGCAAAAATTATATCATAGATGTTATTAACAGTGCCTTTACTACTTTTTTTTCTTGGTCTTACATACCTACTTAGGATATGTACCATAAGACTGAACTCAAATGGTGATCATGGAAGCTGGGGAACAGTGGCCCATGCCTATGATCTCAGTACTCAGGAAGCTGATGCAATAAGAGCTTAATTTCAAGGGCAACCTTGCTTACAATGTGAGATTCTATCTCAAACTAAGTAAATAAATTTAAAATGGTGATAATGGACATGTTTGTCTTAACTTCAAAAAAAAGAACACTAATGCATCTCTCATTTTTCACCAACGAAAAACTCTCTCATATAACAGAGGAACACAAAAGGTCACAAATGACCAAAGCACAGAGAAAAAGAGTCTGCAGAGTATGGATCCTTGGACAGGACTACTACTTTGAACTCCATCTACCTCGGGCTCAGAGACCATTGTGGAACAGGAGGCAGAAAGAATGTAAGAGCCAGGGAGGAAGCTCATGACCATATGAAAATAAAGTCCTACAAGCTCCTGGGACCTTGCTCATATGAACTTACAGCAATGGTGCCAGCATGCACAAGACCCATACAAACTCAAGCAAACAAAGACCCAGGACAGAACTATGGAAATGGGTAGCAGGTCCCAATCTTAGTTGAAGAACTGTTGGCAGCTGATTACTGCTTAGTGAGAAAGAACTGATCTTCTTAAAGGGAGGGACTATAGATAGGCTGACTAGACTTCAGTGGATGAATTTGCACTGAGGGAAATCTGGGGACACTAACTTGACATGACAGGCCTTAACACAAATGACAGAATGTATGAATTCAAGTGGGGGGGGTCCCTATAGGAGGGTACCAATCAGGAAGGGGGTATAAAGATGATAAAGATATTCTGTATGAAATGCACAAAAAAAATCAATAATTTTTTTTTGAAAAAGAAATATCAGGGCTGCAGAGATGGCTCAGTGGTTAAGGGCACTGGCTGCTCTTACAGAGGACCCACGTTCAGTTCCCAATGGAGGCTAACAACCATCCATTATTATAGTTCCAGAGGATTCGATGCCCTCTTTTGACCTCTGGGGGCATTTCATGGCACAGGAGCACCTCCATATATGCAGGCAATATAAAATATAAACAAATAATTTTGAAAAGAAACATCAACTGGTTCACCACAAAGTATGGAGTTTTCTGTAGGTTTATTGTATCTATCCTTTAAATAGATTACAGAAATTCCCACCTGTTGTTATTTTGATATTTTCCAGGTTAATTTAATAGTGAATTTTAACTAAAGCTCCAGTTTCAGCCATTGAGATGATTATATGATTTTTTTTCTGGTCTGTAAATGTCGTAAATGACATTATGGGTTTACTAATATTAAAGCAGACCTAAGATAATTTCAATTTGGTTAAGTTTTCTCCTAGGTGTAATTGGCTAATATTTTGTTTAGGATTTTTTGAAACTACATTCATGAGTGACACTGGAAATTATGATTTTCCTTTCTCCTGTGGTCCTTGGTTTTTTAGATTTAGTTGGAAAGCATCCTTCTATTTCCCACTTCTCTGGAACAGGTTATATATTGTAAGATTTTTCCCCCTCAAATATCAGGTTAAAACTTGTCAGTAGAGACATCTTGGCTACAATTTTCAAGAAGTAAGATTTTTCTTTAGTTAATGCTTTCATTTATTTGTTATAGGACTATTCATACTTTCTAATTCTTAAGCCAGTTCTGATAACAGCATTTTCTGGAGCTTTGTTAATTTTGCTTAAATTTTCAAATGTATTGATATGACAACTGTTATATCTCCTTATTATAATCACCTTAATCTCTGCATGTATAGCTATCTTTTTCCATTCCTTGTGTTGTTTGTGTCAGCAATCTAGTTTTCTTTCATTACTCTTATCTGGTATATGTCAGCTGTGCTGCTCCTATCAAAACACCAACATCTTTCATGAGCCTCTATATCATATGCTTGATTTAGGTTTCATTAATCTTCCATTTATATTCTTTGGGCCTATTTTGTTCTACTTTAAATTTGTTGCTTAGCTCATTAATCTCTAGATTCTCTCTTTTTATAATATAAGCAATTAAGGTTATAAATTTTCTTTTAAGTACTTTTTTATTAAAAATCTTAGCCGGGCGTGGTGGTGCATGCCTGTAGTCCCAGCACTTGGGAGGCAGAGGCAAAAGGATCTCTGTGAGTTCAAGGCCAGCCTGGTCTACATAATGAATTCTAGGACATCTGGGGCTACAGGGAGACCCTGCTTCAAAAAGACAAAAAAAATCTTGTAGACTTTTGTATATGATATTATCATTTAGTGTTTTAATACTTCACAATTCCCATCCAAATTTTTTTATGATGTTACCTTCTGTCTTGAGTGAATCCTTTGAATTTTCTTTATTGAGTGTTTTTAATAGCAACCTTCATTACTGACAACACTATTTTCTCATAACACATTGAGGACTAAATTTCACTGTTTTGGCTTCCATTATCATTGTTGAAAAGTCAACTGCCAGTCAAATCATTGTTCTTTGTTAGTAATTTTCTCTGTGTGTGAGAATGTCTTTTACCTAACCTTGAAACATCTTATGTTTTGAGGTCATTTAATATTCTCTCAACTTGTTTTTAATGAAAACAAACTTACTAGGCCTTGGGCTCCTCTTGTAACCAAAACATGTAGCTTTAATCTCTCATG